TGGATGCACATTGAGGCCATACCCTTCAGTTATATTAAAAAGTTATCCATGCATAAATACTGAATAGTTTCTCTGGTGTGAAAAAGTAAAGTGTAAATAAGGATTAAAATGTATAATTGATATTATGTTATAGGAATAAAAATCTGAAAGAGTAGAGGAAGTGGGAGGGGTAGAGGAAAGGTAAAAAGGGAAAAGAAAAAATTTGTGAAAAGGAAAAATATGGAAACAATGTCTTTGTAAATAGGGAAGGGTGGAGGGATGAGGGGAGGGTTTGGGGAATGGGGAAAAATATGAACCTGATAAGTCATGTTTAGGTACAAGATCCCAATGATGAATGTGACTATGCCGTATACCTAATATGTACCAATAAATTTAATAAAGATTTTTTAAAAAGAAAAAATGGAGAGTAGGGCTTTCTTTCATTTATTCTCTCAGGTATAGTGTGCCTAGGAATGCAGACAGTCTCTACAATTTGAAAAAGGTAAGTAAATTGATTTCATTCTAGAGCTTCAAAAAGGAAGATTGCCTTGCCAAAACCTTGATATTATGGTCATATGGCTCATTTCAGACCTTTATCACCTCAACTGGCAAATAATAAATCTGTTATGTTTTAGATAACAAAGTTTGTGACAATTTATTATAGCAGCAATAGGAAATTTATGTACCTGGGCTGTTGATTTGGGGAGGGAGAGAGCTTGTTAGAGTTTAAAACACATTGTGGCCAAACGTGTATTTTCTTCATCCTTTAATAGGCAGCATTATTGTACCCAGGATTTAGAAAATGTCCAATAAATACAAAACATATTTGGCAAGTACTCAAGAATGAAAGTGTGAGCTGAAAGCTGGAGGATGCCTGCAAGTGAAGTAGGTGAGTAAGCAGTGGAGGTCGACTGGGAAATCACCAGGTAGCTAGGGAGACCTCAGCAAGGTGCCCCTTAGTATTAGCGTAAGGCCACTAAAGTGTTTTGAGGACACACACTGCTAAATATGCAATAGATTTCAATTAAACAGATTGGATTTTCATTCAGAGAAGTAGCGTGGTTCTGTCTTCTAATTTATGTAGCTTTTCTTCATATCTCTCATGTATTCTATCACGTGCTCCAGTATGAATCTTGCCCTTCTGAAAAGATTGCTGGGGACAGAGATACTTTGTATTCTCTTTCTTACATGCTGTCCTACTCGGTGTCTATCTCCCTCTGCTCTGTAACTGCCAGATTTACTATGTAGTCCCCCAAGCCCCTGAATGTCTCCTAGATGTTCTCACATGATGAACTTGTCTCACAATCTCCAACCTAAACTCCCTATCCCGTAGCCACCCCACCCCACCCGGGCTCCCTAACATTTCCCAGGTTGGGAGTGGAAAAGCTTCAGAGCCATCATTTGTCTTATTGCAGATGACACAGCCTGAAAGTCACATTAATTCCAACATGACTAAGGATAGAACAAAAATCCTATGAGTGAATACAGAAAAGTAATGGAGCCAAGAGTTATAGGTAGTAGTTAAATTGAGAGAGGGAATGTAAATCTTCACCTTATCATTTACAGTGTAGAAAATTGAGAGGAGGATGAGACTAGAGACAGGAGGTGGGTGGGCATTCTGTTCTGGACTAGCAAAAGAGGGAAGAGGAGGAAACAGGAGAGAGGAGAAATATTCTGAACAACTTCTTCTGACCACTACAGAAGGGCCCGCGGAGACACAAAGGTTCACAGCACACACAAAGATGTTTGCTCATCAGCTACTGTTCTGTGCCAAGGGGGCTGGTCCTGGGAGGCAGAGATGAGAACTCCTTGTAGAAGTTTGCAGTCTAGTGGGAGAATACGCTGCTCAAAAAAGTTATGATGCAAACGCACAGTAACAATATTATACAAGTGTTCTCTGAGAATCCAGGTGAGAAAAAGTAAAGGTGCCATGAGAAGTTAGAAAAAGCCAGAGAAGACACTATGTGAGCTGTATCAATGTTGGTATGGGATGATGTAGTTAATTCATATATTTCTATTCTGATCTATAATGTTTATCTACAGTATGCTGCAATACAGTGAATACTATAATATGTATTTAATCAACTCATGTAAATGTTCTACCCATCATTTATGTTAATGGATATTTTGCTGTTTTTTCTCCATTGGTAGATTTCGCTGGTAAAGACACCATGGTAAAGAATAATCTTTTTTCTCATGTTTTTTATTTCTCTTTTCCCTTATTTCCTTTCCCCTACACCTTTAGCTCTTTTGTTCCTGTTTCACATTGTCAATTATACCATTAGGATCTTATGTACCATTATAGTTTTTCACACCAGAAAAAGGAAAATCTTTTTTGTTGTCTTAAAATCACTTTTGTAAAATCTTATATTATTTAGAACTTTCCAATATCATCCAAATTTTCTTTTGGTATCAAGATATCTATAATGCTCTCATTTTTTATATATCCACATAATCTGTACTTATATTTTTTTTGGTCCTAATATTGTCCCTTATCATTTTTTCTTTTCAGTTTTGTTTAGTGTTTAATGATTTTATTATTCTTTTCAAAGAACCAAACTGGGATGTTGTTGATGATTCAAATTTTATGCTTTTTTCAATTTTATTAATCTCTATTTCTATCTTTACTATTTCATCACTTTTACTGTCACTGGTTCCACTGAATCTTTAAATTCTTGATATAAATGATTAAATCATTGATTTTTTACATTTTTCCTAATATGTGCAGGTCCATATTCCTTATGCACTACTTTATTGTACCCCATAAATTTTGATATGTATTTCCCTTATGTGATTTAATTACATTTTCCCCTCTAATCCTCACTATGACTCCTTTGAACAACTGGTAATTGCAAAGAGTATTTACTAATTTGCAAATATATGGAGGCTTTTGGTTATTTTTTTGCTGCAAATTTCTTTCCAGTAAAGATTTACAGATTAATTGCATGTTAGCAAGAAAACCTGCAGGTATAATTTCCCTTATTTGAAATGTGTTGAAATTTGCATTATGGCCTCAGCTTATGGTCATCAGAGAAACAGTTGGAGCCCAAAGACTTTCCCAGCTACACGAGCCCAAACTTGTCATGAAGCAAGAGTCTCAGCTAAAGATAAGAGTGCTAATCAGAACACTCAGAATCATTGGCCTTTTCCCAGACCTTTGTCAAGATGGTTATAATCATACTCACATTCAGTGCAATAGACTTTTTTTTTTCAGCTTTAATTGAGTTTATTGGTACATTTTAGGGATACAGTACAGCTACATTCATTGTTGGGATCTTGTACCTCTACATGACAAGTCTTGATTCTCATTTTTTCCCCTTACCTCTGCCCTCCCTTCAACCCCTCCTCCCCTCCTCATCTACAAACACTTTATTTACATCTTTTCATTCTCTCACATTTTTTTCTTTTCCCTTTTTACTCTTCCCCTACCCATCCCACCTTCCCTACACCTTTAGCTCCTTTCTTCCCATTTCTAAATGTCAGTAATCTTATTAAATATGTCCTCTCTGCTCTTTTTCTCTCTCATATTCTGTGTATCTCCCTAGAAAACTGATGAGATATTCATCCCTCTGGTTGAAGATAATGGTTTGGATTTCATTAATCTACCTTCTTTTTTTCCTGTTCTCCCTCACTTGCTTGCAACTTCTTTGCATTTATTTTTTAATTGACAACATATTGTTTTTTTGTCTCTAGTGACACAGCCTTGATAAAAACAAATACAAAATTCTTTGGGAAATGATAGTAAATAAAAATGCAGTATCAATAGAAGAAAATGTTGAGAAATGAGACAATAACCAAGCCATTCTTTTGGTTTTGGTTTTGTTTTATTTTATTTTGTTTTGTTGGTACCGGATATCAAACTTGGGACCTTGCACTTGTGAGGCAGGTAGGGGAAACACTGAGCTAAATCCCTGGCCCCCAAGCCATTCTTTTTAGAAGACATATTCCTAACAAGCTACCCTTTGTTTAAAAAAGTCAAGAAGTTAATAAAAAGTATCTATGTTTCACCTTGAGTTTTTAGCATTGACTTATTTCTTCAAATTTGTGACCTAGTAATAGAAACATATACTGTCCCATTTCATTCTTTGATAAGTTGTGTCATTTCCTTAGGACTTCTAAGTATATTACCTATTTTAAACTATATATTTATATATTTAAAGTAATAAATGCCATTACTTTTTAAAAACATCTAATGAATTTTGGAACTAAATTATTGAGTTAAAAGATTTCAAAAATTCAAAAGAAAAACTAAAACAAATATTTTTCAATTTCCAGTCAAAAATGTCTTTAATTTCCATTTAGTTAGAAGGAATCAGTCAAATATATAATATACAATAAATTCAGCAAATTTTTATCAATTTATAATTTTAAAAGCTATAATGAATAATTTACTTCTGATGCTTGTACATTAGTAAATATCAAATTAAAAGTTCAACATGCAAGTTCATTCTAATTCAACTCTGCATTTTATCATTTAGTTAAAAGGTATCATGATGCTTTTCATTCATTCTTCACAGTAGCACATCACTTTTTTCTGTGTCTGTTATTTTTTCTACATTTGAGATAAAATCACATCAATTCCTAAGTATGCAACAGAAAGATAAACTTCAAGAGAATAAACATTAATGTGGATGACATACAGCACCACAATCAAAAGATTTGTTGTTGTTACCTGATTCACTTTTTTCAAATAACTATCAACATCCAATTGCTTTAAACTCTGGCTTGTTTGGGTGAAAATCCAAAATATTTTCAAAGAAAAGGTATTTTGAAGAAAAACTTGTCCATATTAGAGCTCTGATACCATGAATTTCATTCAATGATTCAAACGCTTATTTTAAGTAAATGAAAGGAAGAAAGATGGAAAGGAATAAGAAGGAACAGAGAGGAGGTAGGAAGTAAAAAGAAGAGACAAGAGTGGAGAGGAAGAGGTTGAAAAGAGCAGAGAATAGGTTAGAGAGGGAGGGTAAGAAGAAGAAAAGAGGAAAAAGACACTCATTTTTTCCTTAAAACTAACTCACCGTTGTAGCTACCATTGGATAGAGAATTGAGTAACGTGTTTTGTTCACACTGAAATGAAAACAAATGAAAAGAAAATTTTTATGAAAACATTTTGAAAAAAATGAGAAAATACACTACTCCTTTCTCCATAAAGAATAACAAAAATTAATCTCCTTTAAATATTTTCACTAGGTTTGCTTTCAGAATGCTGTGTACAATAAAGTTTAAGTGTACCTTAGTTCAGTAAGTAATTTACGTTATCAAAGTTGTACGATCTTCTCTAGACCATTTTTTGGCAAGACTTTGTTTTGATTTCAGATGGGACATTAATCATTTAATACTCAGAACAATCCTACAAAGTTACCAATCTCATTTTCCATGTTAGAGAGTCAAAAATTAGAAAAGTTATGTAAGTTGATCAAAGTCACAAAGCTGGCAAAAGTCTGGATCACAACCAAAGCTAGTGCCTTTCCAGTTCTATCTTTGTGGCCCCAACCCCTGCTTTATACTACTTATCACAGGAAAGAGTTTTCATCTTTCAATTAGACTAGAGAATTTTTGTTTCCTCTTTTTGATACACAGTGGTGCCGTTTATAAATCATAGGTGTTACTGACAGTTATCAACTATACCCGATTATTGTACATTTCTAACTCTCAGCCTTCCTTTTTAACATAGCATTCAGATAATATCACTTACATTGTGTGGCTGATGATAGTTAATTTGGCCTAACTAGAATCTGGTCCCTGACAACCATTGGACAAATGTGAGTTTCCTTTCCCTCCTCTTACAGATACTTTTTCTGAAATCTCTTGTGAATTTTAGTAATTTCTGTAGATACTCTGCCTTGAAGGAAGTGGCTTACTTCTACCTTGAAATAAGAAGTAGCTATCTGAGACAGAAGATACCCAACAATGAATCTATGTAACTCCAGACCATCTCCCTAGCCATTCTTCATGGCAATTTTATCCCCCTTTATTCAGAAAGCAGGGTTTCCTTGCTATATCCTTTAATATCCATGGTATATAAATTTGCATTATTCTTATTTAATGGAACTGAATGAATTTAAAACATCATCATAGAGTTCTTAGGTAAAGAATCCCTTTGAGGGCCATTGCCTACGAACAGTCTGGATTCACTGAATTCCATTTGACTATTAGACTCACATTTCTGGTCTCCTAAGTGATTATATCCTAATCAGATATAAGATAGCTCCTCACTGAAGGGTTCATTAATGAGGTTAAATTCTGACTCGACACACTACAAAATAAGCAAACATGCTAATTTTCAGTTCCCGAAAACAAGCTGAGACAAGCAGTCTTACAGGAAAATACTCCACGGAAAACATTATCAACCTCATTAAATGATTCATTTCAAGTATACTACTAGGTTTGATAAATTCCACAAAGCTGTATATAATACTAAGAAGAAAATTTACATTTGAAAAATGAGGCAACAGACTTCTTATGGGTTATGTTATATGAAACTCTGGACAAATGTTTTTCCCAACACTCATAGGGATGTTTTTTGTGAGCTCACCTCTACCCACAGAAACCTCCCTAAATCGGTGTAACCGAGCTTTGTGAAAGAAAAAGGCCTGGTAACTAACCATCCTGAACAACTGGAAACATAGTTTCCTATCCGACAAGAGAGCATGTTCTCAAAATGCCTGGTGTTGGTTCCCAGTGTTCCCTTGAAAGTGAAATCATAGAGAGCATGGAGACACTCAGGGAGGGCTGGCTTCCTGCGATCCTAGTCTGTGCAGTCCCACAGGGTTCCATGCTTCGAAAGCTCTCTCACTTGGTTCATGCTGTGCTGTCACCATCTTAAAAATCTGAGTAATCGTGGAGCAAAGGACCTCCTATTTTCATTTTGCACTGGGCCCCTGCAAATTACATGTGTCCTCCTGAATATGGGGCCGCTGTCGTGTGGATCAGGATGAGGCAGGAGCATGCAGCTGTGGGGGACAGCTCCTGAGATGCCAGAAACAGGAGCGCCGAGACCATCTATTCCCTGACTGACTAGCGATAGTACATGCACAAAGAAGTGAGAAAGAAGAGATCTTCGTGATCTGGAAGAGCCAACGAAAGTCAACGAAAAGAGCAATCAACCACACTAATAATATGACCTAAGACTGTATAATACGGAGTAGGCCAAGCACATTCTAGGTGCTCTGCATTTATTAACTCATTTAATCATCTTGATTAAAGATGAGGAAACTGAAGCATAATTGGTGACTCAGTTAAGGTCCCAAACCCAAGCAGCCTTCTCTTAACACTGCAGAGAACTTAAAGGATTATGATGATATATGGCTCATTTACATAAATCACAGTGATGCACGTTTAATTCAATATCAGATAACTGACTTTACTTGTGGACATAAAGCTGATTTTTATAATGTTACACCAATGGGAAAATTTTGTGCCTCTCTGGTATCATTTGTCATATTCTATCTCTTTAGGAGTTAGATATAATGTTTTTTGTTTTTTGGTTTTTTTTTTTAGAAGCTTGGTGAGCAAGCCCTTTGAACTAAGCAATTTGTCTTATTTGTTCTTTTGTGGTACACATATTCATTAGACATCAGGAATTGAATGAATAAATAAGCAAGAGGTAACCTAAAAATTAAGTACATGCACTAAATGGAAGTATTATTTACATGAGACTTTTTTTTTTAGTGTCATGATGTACAGCTATCTACAGTATGACATTCTAATTGTGAAACTGTCACTCCTACCTTGCTGATATCATCAAGTGGATGGTTACTGGGATTTTCCCTTTGGATTGTGTTCTTTAAATCGGTGTGAAATTTCTTTACATTAAGGAAGACAAGTGGGTTGTTTATTGAGATGATTTTCACCTGAGGTGTGGTCTCCTTTTAAAAGAGAGAGAGAAAAAAAAAGATTCAGAATTGTGAATTAAATGAAAAAGAAAAACTATACCCACTGAGTTTATATCTTGCAAGTCCAAATGTCACTCATCTGTGGAAACAATCTCTTAACTAACATTTTCATTACTAAAATATGTTTAGAGGCCTTACTGTATCAATGCACTTCTTGGGCAAATACGTACTTTCTAGAAACATTGACCTTGAGACAGGCCTACAGATTCTCTGAAAGTTGTCTTTATTCCTGTTGAATGGGTTTGGGGAGGCAATAGCCTAAAATACCCAAAAAATACCAGGAGGATTTATCCTCCCCAAAGCACCTCTTCCATTTGACCTATCAGTTAAAAATAACTTATTTAACCATTTATATTTTTTTAAAAACAAAAATGTGGACTAATGTGTCAAATGTCAGATCATAAGAATGTAAGTTTTCTTCAGCTGAAATGCAACTGTACAAGTGACTGATGGTCCTAACTGGAACAGGAATATAACTTTACTTGGAGCAGGCCTGGGTCACACTGCATCACCACAATGTAGGTGAAGGAGGCAGGAACAGAGAGCAAGGTCTTATATAAAAGGGTGTCTGCTATGGCCATTTGCTGAGCTATTACTGGCAGCGCTCAGTGATGTGCCAGTAAAACCGTCTTCTCGGTGGCTTTGGGACAAATGTCTGATTGAGAAGATGGCTGATTCTCTGAAATGATAGCTCCTCACCAACGAAGAAAGCAATACTCTGGTAGGCCTTAGTGCTCATATGGGCAAGGAAATGCAGAGAACAAACATGTATGCAGCCAGAGGAAAGAAAGAAGAAAAAGAAAATGTTAAGCACATTAATTTAGATATTTATCCAACCTCTCTCAGTCTCCCAATTTTTTAAACTAGATCAATGCTTAAACTAGATTGTATCAAATTCTAAATCCACAAAACTGGTTAAACTCCAGAAAATGAAATTTGTAATAATTAAAAAAAACATAAGCTCCCAAACTTTTAATCAAGAGTAAACCCCTTAGAAACCAAAAACAAAATATTATTAGGCCTGTCATATTTAGTTATCACAAATCATACATGACTGTGCCATTAAGTTGTCTTAAGTTAACCTGAAAACATATGTATTTGTTAAAGAGGAGGCATTCAAGTTGTTCAAAGTAAATTGTCAGTGAAGTTGAATTCAGAAAATAGGAACAGATCTCCCAAATAAGAAATGGGTATTTTGCATAATAAAGGAGTGAAATGTTCATGATTGAAAGATAAGAATAACAGATTATTTTATTTTGTTAGCTAAAAATTCCATCTGAAAGTTCACCTTCATATCTTGTTCAATCTTGTCTTTTTCTTTCTTTTCTTTTTCTTTTTTTATCTTTCAGTTTTGGCACAAGTAATTAATGAGATGCAATATTTTTTCTTTTTTATGAGTTTTATTAGTACATGCTGCTATACATAATGATTACACTCATTGTAGGGAATTGGTCCATGTATATAACATATTTAAATTCCTTTTTTCTCCCTCTTTCCTCCACCTCCTTTTCTTTTTCCATCATCAGATTCATTTATCTTGTAAGACCTTGTAAAGTTAACTGTCATATATACAGATTGAAAACCACACCAAAAGGCCAAAGAACATAAAATATGTAAGTCAATGTACTAATTCAAGGTATACTTTTAGATATATTATCCACACTGGATTATGATATCTTCTTTTTTCTTTCTCTTGTTTCCCATTGTCTGTCTTTTACTCACGCAAAGGTAACTTGGTGCACAAAATCAATTTTTTCCACGTTAAAAACAAATATTATGGAATGAATTTTGTGACCAGGATCATGGCAAGAATTGTTTGTGAACCAAGATAGTACTGTACTTTATATGTACATTGAGTTTTTCATATGAGAAACCATGTTATATTTAAGCTTCTGTGTCTGAAATACTTCACTTAATATTTGATCTCAAGGTGCATCCATTTTCTTACAAATGACTCGTTTACTCTTCTTTATGGCACAGTAACATTCAGTTGTGTACAAGTAACACATTTTTTTATCTGTTCCTCTGTTGATGGACATTTAGGCTGTTTTCAAGACTTAGCTATTATGAATTGTGCTGTTATAAGTATTGGTATGCATGTATAACTGTGATATAATGTCTTTAGCTCTTTTGGGAATATACCTAGAAGGGAAATAGCTGGGTCGAACAGAATTTCTACTTTAGTTTTTTGAGGAATCTCCATGCTGATTTCCATGGTGTTTTTATCAGTTTACAGTCCCACCAACAGTGAAGGAGTTCCTTCTCCTTTCAGCCTCATCACCATTTGTTATTGGTTGATTTGTTGATGGTAGCTCTTCTTTCTGCAGTAAGATGGAGTCTCAGTGTTGTTTTAATTTGTATTTCTAGAATAGCTAGCGATATTGACATTTTTTTCATGTGTTTATTGGCTGTTTTTATTTCCTCATCTAAGAAGTGTCTATTCATTTCAGATGCCCATATTTTTCAGTCTTTAAATTTGTAAGTCTCATGGTTTTTGAGTTCTTTATATATTCTAGATATTAATCCTTTGTCTAAGGAAATCTTTTTCCCCCCATTCTGTAGTTTGTCTCCTCATTCTATTAGTGGTTTCCTTTGCTGTGTACAAACTTTTGAATTTGATGGGATCTCAATTTATTGATTCTTGGTATTATTTCTTGTATAACTGCAGTTTTGTTCAGAAAATTTTTGCTTACATCTATGTCTTCAAGAGTTTTATCTATTTTGTCTTTCAGCAGATTAAATGTTTTTGTTCTAATGTTTACATCTTTAACCCATTTTTACTTTAGTTTAGTGCATGGTGAGAGATAAGGGCCTAAGTTCAACCTTTTGCATGTGGATAGCCAATTTTCCCAGCCACCATTTGTTAAAGAGGCTGTCTTCCCTCCAGCAAAAGGATTTGGCCCTTTTGTCAAAAATAACTTAGCTAAAGTGCCTGCAGTTTTTTCTGTATCTTCAATTCTGTTCTATTGATCCACGGGTCTGTTTCTGTTGTTGTTTGCTTGTTTTGTTTGCTTATTTGTTTGCTTTTTTTTTGCCAATACTATGTTGTTTTTATCACTGTAACTTTGTAGTGTAACTTGAAGTCAGAGATTGTGATGTGCCCTGCTTTGCCCTTGTTGCCCAGAATTGCTCCTGGTATTCTAGGTCTCTTCTGATTCCATATGAATTTTAGGATTGCTGCCCTCCAGCTCTGTAAGAAATGTAATTGCTTTTTTTGGTTGGAATTGTATTAAGTCTACATAAAAGTTTTGGAATTGTGGCCATTTTGACTATATTGGTTCTGACTACCCAGGAACAGGGGATATCTTTCCATTTTCTGATATCCTCTTCAGTCATTTGTTTCAGAGTACTATAGTTATCATTGCAGAGGCCTTTCATTTCCTTAGTTAGGTTAATTCCTAAGTATTTTGTTTATCTTGATAGTATGGGAATAGCATTTTTTCTCTCATTTCTTTCTTAGTGAATTTGTTATTGGTATGCAAGAACATTATTGAATTTTAAGTGTTGGCTTTGTATCCTGCTACTCTGTCAAATTTGAGTATTAATTATAGGAGTGTTTTGGTGGAGTTTTGGAGTCTTCTATGTAGAGGATCATGTCATCAGCAATTAATGATAATTTAATTTATTCCTTTCTGATTCACATCCCTTTTATTTCTTTCTCTTATTTTATTGCTCTAGCTAATGTTTTGAAAACTATATGAAACAGAAGTGGTGAGAGCAAATGTTTTGTCTTATTCCTGAATTTACAGAGAAAGCTTTCAGCTTCCTTCCATTTAGGATGATATTAGCTATTGGTTTGTCATAGATGGCTTTTATCAGATTGAGATAAAGACCTTCTACCCTATTTTCTTCATTATTTTATCAAGGATGGATGTCTGATTTTTCAAATGCTTTTTCTATGTCTACTGAGGTGATCATGTGATTTTTGTCTTCTGTTTTATGTGGTGTATTACATTTATTGATTTGCATTATGTTGAACCATCCCTGCATTCCTGGAATGAACCCTACTTGGACATGATGTATGATCATTTTGCTGATTTTCTGCATTCTGTTTGCCATTATGTTCTTGAGGATTTTTGCATCTGTGTTCATTAAAGAGATTGGTCTATAGTTATCTTTTTTGTTTGGGTTCTTTTCTGGCTTTGGAGTCAGGTTAATGCTTCTTCCAGGAATGACTTCAACAAAATTAGATTTCCATGTGATACAGTTATTATTCACTTGGGTGACAAGACTGGACCCAAGGTTCAAGAGATGTAGAAATTTCTGGCATTTTTATCTGTCCTACAAATCCCCTTACTCACTCCCACACGTTTAGCCCTTGAGGAAGGTAGGGTAAGGATTATTTAGAGTTTTCTAACAAAGGACTTTTAAGATGAATTCTGTTTCAAAGCTCAGGATGTCAATCCCAATGCACATATACATGAGTGGTGGAGACACACTGAGGATGTAGGCTAGGAATTTGCTTAAGCATTAGAGTCCCACGGAAAGATTTCCTTTCTTTTCCTTCTGTCTTCCTTCCTTCAGTTCCTTCTTTTCCTTTTCTCCTCTCCCTTTCCCCCTTTTTTTATATAGGATCACACTATGTTTTCCAGTCTGACCTTTAATTTCAGATCCTCCTGCCTCAGCCTCTTTAAGTAGCTGGGGTTGTAGGTATGTGCCACTGTGCCTGGCTCCCATGCATAATTTAAGAAAATAAAATAAAGGCAGAATTGGTGGAAAAGTTGAGCATGTAACATCCTCAAAGTTATAAAGTCAAACAGCTCCCTGTGAAGCAAATCTTCCTATGCTGATTGAAACAAGCTCTTTTCCTGGATGTCACAGAAGAACTCCTGATGTTATTTCCTAGTTCCAGTCTATTTAAAAACACCCTCACATTAGTCCTTCTGGTGAGAGGCCAGTTCTTTCTATTCTGAGGGGCATCATAGAGTACTAAGCAAATGTAAGAAATAAAGAAGAAAAGTTTAGCCAAACATATATAAAGCAGGTGCAAAGACAATTTTTAATTGGCATAAGTCAATATTTTCCTTCCTTTTTAAATATTTTTATTATTTCATGATAAAAACTAGAACTCAAACTCTAAAAATTTACTCCTTAGCATTGTAAAGTAAGACAATTTATTCAATTTTCTTATTTAAAAAACTCTTCATTGTGTAAAAATGCAATCTCTTTGACATTCTAGAAGCAATGGACTTAATTACCCTCTACTAATGATATCGACTAGATTTTTTTTAAAGGTAATATCACGAGCTAATTTGTTTATTTTCTTCCTATTTCCTATCTTCATATGTCACTAAGTTCAGAAAAGACTATCAGTTTGGCTGGGTGGCTTTATGCAACTTAGCAGTAAGAAAGAGATTTACACATGCTTGAGTGAATGTGGGCCATAATTCTACTGTGAGCTGCAGTTCTTTGAACTATGATCTGATCTTATCTGAATGCCAAATTCAAAGAAAATTTCTTCTGTTCCATTGAGTTGTGTGTCTGTTGTTACATGTGTCATGGTCAATATATATCATTGGAAGTTCATATTAATTAAAAAGGTAAATATTTTTAAATATCATAATTTTTGTTTCTTATGATATCATAAAACTACAACACCTACAAAATTATTAAGCATTGTTCAAAGGAAAAAAGAAAGTAAACTTACATCATCTGTTTCTGTCTTCACTTTGAATTCAATTTCTTTCATGTTTTTAATACTTAAAGTCTTTGCTCTAAAGTTAAGGCACATAAAAAACACAATAAGTCATTTCCTGATGAGCATACAATAATGAAGAACCGAAGGGGCTAAATCATATTTTATCTTAATAATTAGAAATGCCTGAAATGGTGTAGAACTCATAACACATTTACTCATAAAAGATTAGCTAATCTATGCATTTCTGTGATACTCAGAAATAGAGGGTAACAAAAAGAACCATCCAACTAGAGATCAATAAATATACTTTACCTTATTTTGGTTCCTAGAGCCCCAAATCTCCAAGCTGCAAGAGGTGGATTTGTAAAGAATTATAAGAGATAAAAGGCTAGAGAGTATTAGTATTTGATAAAATCTTGTTTTAGAGGAAAAGAAGGAAACAAGAAATCAAGGACAAAATGGGACAAGATAATAATAAACCTGCTCTATTTAGATAATATAAAAGTAGAATATAGAGATAAATCTGAGCATTTTTAAGAATTTATTACTGCACAAAAAACTTCAAGAGAAGGATGAGGTGTGAGTGGAAGCACTATCAGATGAACACAGAGAAAGCAAAGGAAGGACTTGATCAAAATAAGGAAATGATTTGTAGACATTCAGTAATAAAACAAAAGATGTATGTTCCTCAATAAATTATCTAGAATATTATATTTATATATAATATATTATATAGATTATACATTATATATTCTACAAATATTAATCATAATTTTCTGATAAATAAAAAATAAACCTTTTAAAAATTATTTAATTTTCCAAATGATTACTATTACCATATGGTTTGTGTTGTATTGGATACTATATCCCTTCACTTAATTAAAAAAAACTCCAAGATACTGTACGTGCTTAAAGGATATATTTATTTTTAATATTTTTACATATTTACTCTAGTCTGGCTATCACATGTCCCACAAAGGCCAGTGTGTCAAAGGCACTGTTGCCAATCTTTGGCAGCATCTGCAGGAGGTGAAGCCACTAAGTGGTGAGGTGAAGTTAGGTCACTGAGCGAGTAAATTTGGGGAGGATAATGGGGACCCAGACTCTTCCTCCCTCTCTCTCTCCTTTCTTCCCACTTGCCATGAGGTGAATGGCTTTGCTCTAAAGTGAGCTTCCTATTATGATATTCTGCTTAACCACAAGCATAAAAGCAACAGGGCCAGTTTACTAATGGACTGAAATCTCTAAAACCATGAGCCAAGCCAAAATAAACTTTGCTTCTTCTTAAATTGCTTTATTTCAGGCATTTATTACAGTGATAAAAAGCTGACTAACACATATTCTATTTTACAATGTTGATATTTCTTTTCATTAAGACCAACATTGCTACATACCATATGTAGATAAAACATTTCCTTATCACTTTAATTCTCTAATAGCACATAAACATGAGATTGTTTTACCATAAGTTATACAAAAACAAAATAAACTTGATTGCTGAGTAAGAATAAACAGAGTATTTTAATAAAGTCTTACCTTGGGAAGCGTCCTATCACTACAGCTATGGTACAGACGACACCAAACAGAAGTCCCACATTGGCAGCAAAGCATATTGTAAATATATATGTACTGACCCATATACCCTAAAAGAGAAATAGCAGGTGTGGGGGTTTTGGTATTATCTTCCTCATTGATTGCTCCCTTTCATACAGTTTTATTGTACAACATTCCTGCGACCAAATCTTTCAGCAAGAATGTATCATTTAAGAAGCAGAGAAACAGAAGCTAAGGAGTACAGAATCACATCTTAACTCTATCTGACTCTCAGCAGTACAAATGGGGAAAGGTTCACTCTTTAATTCCAGGCACTGCCAATCCTTAATTCGATTCCTAATTACCATATTTAAAATCTGTAAATGGTTGATGTGGGTGTGGTCAAAAGCATGCCATAATTTCCCACCACATTCTCATTTAATGTAACACTGTCAAAAGTAATTGTTTGCAGATATCTGTCATTCTTAACAATATTCTGTTTTCTAAGATTGCAAAAAACCCACTATCGTTTATTATTACACAAGGCTTTCAAAACCTAGTCTTGAAATGACTGAATCAAACAACACTGCCAATGCTACTTTTAGATCAACCACTATGAAGATCATTATAATTTATTTACAAGGAGCTGCTTATTGTGAAAGCTAAAAAATCAGGGCCAACTCTGTTCCTGGGAACATTTCAAAACACTGGAAGAAACCAATTCTCTTCCAGTTGGAATTCCAAAGTTGTAGTTTGCTCATCATTTGAAATTATAATTGCAACAAGATATTGTAGTATAGTTGGCATTTCTAAGCTTAGTGCTACAAAAAACGTTAAAAACAACTAATTTGTGAAATCCAGAAATACAAATCCTGTATTTATCAAATTGTAAGCTAACGAAATTTAAACCTTTTTCCCCCTGAATAAAATCCATCATTTTGCCTTTCATGCAATTCAAAGTTTATTTCTGTCTGTCCCAGGACTCTTATATGCATTCAAAAGATTACTTTTAAAGTATCATCACTTCAAAACATCTTTTAAAACATAATTTAATTTCATCAACAAATGAAAGACAAACTACTCAGTAATCTAAAAATATCATAAAATCTTGAGAATTAAGAGTACAGACTTTTTTTTCTCTCCAGCCAAGTTTGAAATACACATTTTTAAAGAATAATTCTTAAATTGAAATGCTTTTCCTTTGCCTATATTATTTATATACAGACTGAGTTTGAGTGATCCTTAATAATAGGCTGTCTTGAAAAGCTCAGCCGCAGAAGCAAATGGAGGGAGTTTTAATGTTAAATCCCTTTTGATAATAAAAGACACATTCTAGAGCAAAAGAGCAAATATATCTTAAATAATTTTCATGTTAAGATCTATCTTCTAAGAATATAATGCTAATTTATTACTTATATGAAATCATTCCCAGCCTGCCTCCTTATGGGTTAGGACACTGAGCTGTTTCTCCAGTATTCCTGTGAATCAGCAGTCATTTCTGTCTTCTATTTGTATAAGTGTGTTTTCCTTCCTAATTATTATGATCATATACAAAATCAGAATGCAAGTTTTTTATCATTACTTCTATTTCCTCTGATGACTTTGAGTCTTACTCATCTTCAAATGCTAAATGAGCCTTCCTGAGTGAGGCACAATAGCATCTCACCAAAAGATTTCTGAGTCTAATGTCTCTTAGCCAATCTTTATAATTCAAAATGGCATAGGGAACTATGGATGTTGGTTCCTGCTACTTAAAAAAACCACAGAGCCTGGAGGCCAAGATTCAGTAGAGGAAACCAAAAATTTTGGTACCATCTGGTTCTATTTTTAAAGCATATTTACTCTGCCACAACATCATCTATTATAACTCAGGCTTTCTAAATGCTTAGTTATTTCCTAGGGCTACATTTATAGCTTGAAAAAATATCAAATGCAAATTAATAACATAGATCAGTAAATAATTCCATTAGTTAGAATATGTCCTACAATATTCTGTAACAATTCCTGTAAAGAATGCTAGTTATCACATTTACCAGGAATTAGTTCTTGTCTCTTTGTGCCTTTTTATTAAAAAATAATGATTTAGCACTAAGAGTCCCTAAACACAAAGTAACCACAAAGTTAAATTTAAGTATAAATCATAAATGAATGCTTCTTATTTAAAATTCATCAATTTGAAATTTGAAAATTCATCTAGTTGGGCTGGGGATTTAGCTCAGTGGTTCTGCCACCTGCCTTGCTTGTACAAGGACCCAAGTTCGATCCTGGTACAAAAAAAAAAATCACAAAGCTAGTATGGCCATGACCATACTTCCAAAACTGCTATACAGATTATATGCAGTCCCAATTGAAATAGAAACCATATATTTCACAGAAGTAGAGAAAACACTACAAAAACTCATTTGGAACCAGAAGAGACCTGGAAGAGTAAAAGCAATTCTAGGCAACAGAGACAGGACAGAGGGTATCACAATCCCCAACTTTAAACTATACTACAAATCCACTGTGATAAAAACAGCATGGCACTGGCAAAGAAACAGACCTGAGGATCAGAGGAATAGATTAGAAGATGCAGAAACAACTCCAGATGTACTGAGTTACCTCATCTTTGACAAAGGAGCCAACCATACTCACTGGAGGAAAGATAGCCTCTTTAATAAATGCTGTTGGAAAAACTGGATTTCAATTTGTCAAAGATTAAAACTAGACCCATATCTTTCACCATACACTAAACTAAAATCCAAGAGGATTAAAGATATAAATATTAAAACAGAAACACTAAGCTTGCTGAAACATAAGTTAGGTAGAACTCTTGAAGATATCAGCATAGGAAAAGACTTTATGAACAAATTCTCAGTAGTACAGAAAGTAGCACAAAGAATCAACAACTGGGATCTCATTAGAAAGCTTCTGCACAGCAAAATAAATCACCAGCAGAGCTAAGATACAACCCAAAATGTGGAAAAAAATTTTACCAGCTGCTCCTCAGACAAAAGTCTACTATCTAGAATGTATAAAGAACTCAAAAAAAAAATCACACCCCCAATAAAGACCCTATTCAAAATGAGCATCTGAAATGAACAGATATTTCTAAGACAAAAAAGAAAAAGCAGCAAATAATCATATAAAAAAAGTTCAACATCACTGGTCATTCAAGAGATGCAGATGAAAACAGCACTCAGATTCCACCTCACCCCAGAAAGAATGGCTGCTACCAATAAATTAACCAATAACAAATGCTGGTGGGGTTGTGGGGAGAAAGACAACCTTCTTCATTGTTGGTGGGAGTGAAGACTGGTTCAACCATTGTGGCAATCAAGGTGGAGATACTTCAAACAACTAGGATTAGAGGTTCCATTTGACCCAGATATTCCTCTGCTGGGTTTCTTCCCAATAGAGTTAATTACCACAGTGATATATGTGTACCCATGTTTATAGCAGCACAGTTTGTAATAGCTAAAACTAGGAAATAGCCCATCTGCCCATCTGTTGGAGACTAGATAAAGAATATGTGAGAAGATGTGTGTGTGTGTGTGTGTCTGTGTGTGTTTGTGTGTGTGTGTTTCAATAAAATGGAGTACTACTCAGCCATAAAGAACAATAAACTAGAGACATTTATAGCTAAATGGATGCACAATGAGACCACACTCTTAAGTGAAATAAATAGGACACACATGTAAATACTGAGTAGCTTCCCTGGTGTGAAAAACTAAAAGTGTAAATAAGGATCAAAATGTCTAACTGATCATGTGAAATAGGAAGAAAAGGTCTAAAAGGGTAGGGGAGGGCTAGGGATTTAGCTCAGCGGTTCGGTGGCCTGCCTTGCTAGCACAAGGACCCGAGTTCAATCCCCGGTACAAAAAAATAAATAAATAAAAATAAAAATAAAAGGGTAGGGGAAGTGAGAATGGTAGGGGAAAGGAAAGAAGGTAAAGGAAAAAATACAAGAAAAGTAAAAAATGGAAACAAGGTCTTTGTAAGTAGGGAAAGATGGAGGGGTTGAAGGTAGGGCAGGAAAATGGCAAAAAAAAAAAAGAACCAAGATATATCATGTAAAGCTACAAGTTCCCAATGATGACTATAACCATATTGTATACCTAAAATGTACCAATTAACTTAATGAAAAAAAGAAAATTATAAAAAATTAAAATAAAAAATAAAATGAGTCAGAGCTACTCAGCCACAACCTAAAATAGGAGGAACAAAAAAAAAAGAATAAAAATACAATTGATTTTATTTAAAAATTTTTTCATCAGTCTATTGGACCACTTTATATTTCCCTGACCAATCTTTGTTTTTTTTTTTTTGATTGACCAATCTTTTTGAGAGAGACATTAATATTATTAAGTTTACATAGATCTGCTCAGTACTATGTCCATGAGTATAACCTTCATTTGGGTTTCTATTTCTTCATTACTTTAAAGAGGGTTTTTGATCAACAAGTGAATCTAATATGAAACTATTAAAAATTAGAGGAATAAAAGTTACTGACTTTTCATGTGATGACTATTGACATATTTTAACTTTAGAACTTCAAATTATTTTACATACACATCATTATCATGTGTCATGATAATATAAGTATTTTCTTTCATGTGATGACTATTGACATATTTTAACTTTAGAACTTCAAATTATTTTACATACACATGATTATCATGTGTCTATGATAATATAAGTATTTTCTATTGATTGAGTAGTCTAGATGAATTATATATTGTGGATAACATCTCTACCCCCAGAAGTCTGTAAAACTTTTACTAAATATACCTAGATTATATCCCAATAATCCATGGCTCTTTACTGTTTAGTTACTTGGCAATAAGTGGTACCTATTTATTCCAACCATTGTTGGGCTCACCCAGGGCCCCACTGAGTCATCATGTAACTTTTTTGTCCATGTTACCTTTCTCTAATATCACTCTTTGCTCACTTCATGTTGCCTATTTACTTCAAGCTTTGAACTATTACTTCCAAGCAGTAGATTACCAGTTCCAAGATCTAAAAATTTTTTTTCAAATTATTTATAAAACACCTTCAAACTCCACAGGTCTAAATGCAAATTCATTAAATTCATCCCCAAATCTACCTTTCTTCCAAAATTCTCTTTCACTTAACATTGCTAATACTCTTCCAAATACTACATCCAGAAACATTAGAATATTATATTCCTTTCTCCTTTTTCATCTACTTGTCCAATAATTTCCCAAATCTATTAGTTATTAAACAAAAAAAATGTATGAATCCACAGCTTTTTCTCAATTCACTAATGATGCCCTACTTCACACTTACCTGTCTCTTCCCTAGACTATTCTGACAACTTCCTACTTAACTGTCTGCTTGTAATATCTGTATTGTAAGTACTAACTGTACAGTTATCTTTCTAAGTATAGATCTGGGTATCAAATTTATCTAATATATTAGATGTATTTGTTGTATTCTACTCCCTTATGTTGAAATAAAGCAAAAATAACTTGAAATGAATCTATAAAGGAGAAAAACAGCTCCAATAAAAAATAATATGGTCAGAACCCTTAACTGCAAAGTAATATATAGGCCATCCAAATACTGAGAAATTTGGATAATAGTCAAGGAGAAAACTAAAAATTAACAAATTAATTCTCAGAATTTCATTAACTACAGATTTTTCACAACCATGAGAATCTTGAAAATACTACACAATAGTTTCTTTGATAAGAACTCCTAGGGTCAAGAACTTGTAAATTCTATAGCTGAGGATGGGTCACCACACAAACAGAAAATGAACCCAGAGATTTATTTGGTATCATACAGTGAAAGCGAAGTGCCATTAGTATCACTTACAACCTTGCTTGCTAACCAAAGGATACTATTAGAGATAAAGCAAGAAGCAAGATGAAAAATGAAAAGTGAACAAGTGCTATGTCGTCAGAAACTCTGCAAATTCTCAGGCTTTGCTTCACCTAGAAACACATGCCCCAGTGACATGGCTTAATCAGAACTGTGGACTGCTCCAGTTCACTTCCTGTTTCCTACTAATCCACATTGTTTTTCATTATTTTTCATTGCAATTCTCAAATAATTATCAGGATTTTATAAATAATATCCTACTTATAGAAAGGAAAAATGAAAAAATAAAAATAAAATAGAGACAAAGGATATGTTTTGGACATGTAATAGGAATCTCAGAAAAAAACTCTAAAAGACATCTGAAAATTCAAAAAATAATTTTTTTTAAATAGACAAACTGAAGGAGACAAAATTAAAGAATTAGGTAATAAATCGGGTGGAAGTAAAAACACTAAGACATAAAAGTAATACTTGAAGGTTAAAAAATAGGTTATTGTCACTGGGCCTGGTGGCACATGCCTGTAATCCCAGCATTCGGGAGGCTGAGGCAGGAGGATCGCTATGAGTTTGAGACCAGCATGGGCTACACAGTGAGTTCCAGATCAGTCTCAACTACATAGTGAGACCCTGTCTCAAAAAACCATTCACAATTAGAAATATATAATTAGACATACAATGAACAATCCAAAAACTGCATACAGGAAAAATAAAAGAATCATAGCAAAACATATAAATATGAAAAAAGACGAAGTAAAATCAACAAATTTATAATTAATTGGGAATATAGCAAAACACAACTGAAAAGCAAAGATAGAAGAGAAATTTCATAATTTTTGATTTTGCGATCAAAAGGGAATGTGGTGCTCAGAAATTTCTCAACCACAGAAATATTTGACAATATTACCAAACTTTGTGGGCAATAGGAATGAATGCTGATCATTTATATATAAAAAACAAACTCATAAAATAACAGAAATTCATATTGACCTCCGATTTCTACCTCATCCTTCAGATACTGAATGTAATGCTAAGTCCAAAAGAAACTGAGAAAACAGATTTTAAACTCAGCCAATAGCTCCTTTTTGCATAAAAAACAGGTTATTATTCTCAAAATGAAATAGCTTGGAGAATGCAAAACACATGAACAACTCCTTCCTTATCAATTATATGGTGATAATATACAGAAAATAAGAGATAAAATGAATAATTCAGGAACGAGAACCTATTTTTAAAAGATGAAAAGTATTCGATCCTTGGTTCCCCCCACACATACACAAAAAAAAGTGACTACTAAATGCATTTCAGCAATAAAATTCTACATTTTCTATAACTCAATATATGATATTATTTTCTTCCAATTATGTTCCTTAGTAGAAACTTAGATGGAATTTATTCTAGACTAACTCACAGTATATGATGAATTATTGGTAAAGATTAACTCAATCTCCTGAATATTTTTCAAATCTATTTTTTCCTATTGAACTTCATTGTCTTAGTCTTCTTCTCTTCCCCATTTGTTTGCCCATTGAAGTCGTTCTCCAATTGCTGTATACTTGTTTAGTTTGATCCACCATCCTAAAATTATTTGTGTCCTTTCTAAAACATAAATCTTTCAGTGATGCTTCAGTGTCTTTACAATGAAGCCTGATCTTCTTTGTAGAACATTAGTGGTATTTCTCAATCCGACTCATTCTAACTTTTCCAACCTCATCTGCCACAACTCCCATCCTCATACTGAATATTCCACTGATGCTCAACATCTTGATTTGTAGAGTCAGACATGTTTATGCTCATCTCTGCGTCTTTGTATATAAGGTTATCGCTTCCTCTGCTAATAGCTATTCATTCTTCAGTTCTCCCCCTAGAAATCACTTCTAGAAGAAGGCTTCTCTGCTATCTTCTCTCCCCCACCAAAAAATGATAAGTTGTTTGCTTGTACGTGATTAAAGTGTTCCTTTTAAATATCTTTATATAAGGGTTATCAAGTAGCTTATTGAATAAGTTTTCATTCTCTTATTTTTTTTCGGTGAATTACCTTACATATATCACCCTAAGAAAAGGCCATGAACCTCCCTCAGCCTGGCTCACTGTGTCCTCTTGGTGTACCTATTAGCATTATTCTTTTAAGTCTCTGTTCATACTTCAACTCTGCTGTATCTTTCATATTAACCAATACAAATTAATGTTTGTGCCTCTAAATACAAGTACATTCTCCCACAATAAACTTGTCCTTCTACTTCTGGGTCATGTTGTATCATGTTCACATAATAAATTAGTGTTTCTGTGTCTGCTCTCTGCACAAAGAATAAGGGTCTGAAAAGGACAGGGATTGTCTCTTCATCTTTACACTCTTTGTGACACTCAGTATTTTACTTTAGTAAGAGCTTAACTTCAGGAGCTACTGTGAAAGTAGGACCAGCAAAAATAATCCCCAAATTCTCACAGAACAGAGGATCCACTGGAGAGGAAATGCAGAGATCATTAGGTTTCAATATGTTAAATGCCATAAGAGAGCTAAATAAAGTATCATGAAATACTTCACCCATATGGGACAGGGAGGTTTTCGATGCTGTTGTATAGGCAGATTTTCTAGAATGTACCTGTATTAAATGTTTCTGTTACTTAAAACACACTTCATTGTTGTTCAGTATAATTTAATTGGTTTCCAACAAAATTCTATTAATAATGTTCCCCTCAGTGTAACCCATTTAAAAAAACAATTCATATGATTTTTTTATATTTAGGACAAAAGTGGCCACCACTAAGAGTGTACCCTATATTCATGTAGCACACATTATGAAAGATTAATCCTATTTTTTCATGCATATTATAAATCATCATATTCTGGTAGTGTTCACTTACTGATGAAATTTGCTTTCAGACTCAATTTGCAATGTAAATTGGGTGTCCCCAAGCCATTCAAACTAATTAGTATTGCTTCAAATGTTCTCAAACTCCACATCCATTAGAATTTGACAAAATTCTGTTTCTGATAGACATTTTAATGCTTTTATTGAGATTTTGGAAATAGTAAGTGGTAGTTTGTAAAGTAAACAATTCTCAAATGGCTAATTCTGTTTTCTGGAAATAAAAATATTAAAACTTATGGTAACATATGCTTAAACCAAAGAGGAAAAATCTTGTTCAAATTTTTACTTACCCAATCAATTTTATCCACATTCCAATATTTTTTTAAATCTCGGAACTGTATTAACATTCCCTTGAGTCCCACAACAATAATGCTTGCAAGAACACACTACAAATGAAAAAATAAATTGAGGAAGCAACAAGATAAATAAAGATTTTAATCTGAATTTAAAAGGACCAAGATATTTTTATTTCTTTCTTTCTTTGTTTTTAAAGTAAAGCAGGAGAAAAGCAGTTACCACTTAGAGAACTAAAGTAATATTTGTTTTGCTTAGAACTACCTCATTGTACTTTAGGAATATAATATCAAATCTGGGAAATCATAGGCTAAATTTTATACAGTTCTTTTAAAAAGACAGAAATAAAAAAGGGAAAAGTAGTAAATATAAGGGTAAATATGACAATGACACAGGTCCCCTTAACTATAATTTTTCACTTTTATTTATATGAAATGTGTTTACTGTAGAAAAATACATATTTATATCACAGATTTCTCTATTATTGCTTTGAATCTCAATTATCTGGTTTTTGCCTAAAGATATTTATAACTTTCTTGGAAAGTTAACTTGAGTATTAGAAGATCATCCTATGGAAATGATATATTCTCACAGCACCAATAAGCATTAGAATAACAAATGACCAACACTAAATCATTTAGGACCAGGATTTTAACTAGGGTCACTTTGCTGCCTGGAATGTTTGAAGGGCAAAGTGAACCACTGGTACTAATGTTCTGTGCCACACGATATATTATCAAGGGTGCGAAGGTGTTTTGTTGGCTAATCCCTTGCCCATATTTTCTAACAAAGTTTTGATAAAATTCTTCCAATGTCTACCTTTTTTCGTTTTGTTTTGTTTTTTGGTTTGTTACTAAGGACCGACCCTAAGGCCTCATGCTGGCATGCTAGGCAAGTCCTTTACAAATGAGCTATGTCCACAAAGCCCAAAGTCTACCTTTCACAGCAAAATATTCCTAGTCTCACTCTCCAGAGGAGCACAAAACAACCCTAGCTCTCTGTGTTATCTTTTTCATACATAAAATGAAGAATTAGAAGACACTATAGTGTTCTTCATCAAATGTGGTATCTTTCCACCCCTCCCCTGATGCAACTTTTACTTATATCAGATGGTTTTCAAGTTCAGGATTATTGAATTTACCCTCCCCCAGAATTTTATATGCAATAATTCTGATTTAAAGTGATATTAAAAAGTAGATAGTAAAAAAGAATTACAGTACCATGGGCAGCCAGTACAGCAAAGGTCCTATTGCATAGATGACTATAAGGATGAAAATGCAAGATATTAGACAAGCCACCTGAAAAATACAAGACAGACAAAAAAGAAGATCTTGAATTTTTTTATTATTCCAAAGGTATGGGTGGTAATGGTGAATTCTTAGTTTATCTTGATTACAAGAAACTCAATGTTGGCACATCACTGCCAAATTGCATATACTGTCATGATCTACATTTTACAGCTGTGGGAAGCCAAACTTGACAGCTGACAAGCTGGTGCAATAAAATTAAGTCAGCGATGAGAAAGAAGCAATTCCACAGAAAAAAATAGGACACCATAAACTTTTATCACACATCACAGCAACAGATTTTAGTTGTTGAATAGTAAAAGTGACATTTCAGGGAAGTTCTTTAGCTTGTAGTTTGCTGAGCCTGATTCCCCTCCATATTTCACAGAGGGGTTTTTGGGAAATAACTAAACAGGCAGCTTAGAATTTCCCATGTCTGGAGTTCTCTGTTAGTAAGGCCTCTAGTTATGAGGCAGTTCTCTGAGATTACAGGCACTATCTCTGACAATGGAAGAGACTTAATTTTATTAACCCTGAAACATCACTGGTGTTATGTTCTAACCCACTCAGCCTGCTGACAAAGGGCAATTCAAAACATCTGATTCTTATAGCTATGCACTGTCTGATGGAAACCTGATTTCACATAAGCAAATGCTTGTGACTTCATCAAACCATTTGAGCAAGCTGCCACCCTAACAAGAGAAGAGAGGGCTTCCACAGGACTGCAAATACATCTACAACATAATTAGGGAGATGTCAAGGAGAATTTGGACTTACCAGAATGGCTTAAATTAAAAACAAATCAATTTCAAAAGTTGGCAAGGACTCAGAGCAACTGGGGTTCTCAGGCATTGCTGTTGGTAATGCAGCAAGGAACAACCTCTTTGAAAATAGTTTGACATTTCCTGTGAAAATATTCATTCACTTACCTTAGAGCAAGATTTCCTATGAGAAATGAAAACATATGTCCATGTGAGTACCTACATATAAATATTTATACCAAAATATGTAAAGGTTTTAAAAGTCCCTTAATTGTGGCACACCCATATAGTAGAATACCTCTTGGTAATAAAAAGAATATGGATGAAAATCAAAACCTTTACACTAGTGAAGGAAGCTAGATGTAAAAGGCTATAAACAAATAAAAAACAAATAGAAATTATGGGATGCCAAGGACTGGTAGTGGTGGCAGGGAACTGACTAAAAAGGGGCATAAGAAAACTTTGGAGTGATACAACTATTTTATATTTTGATTGTGTTTGTAGTATACAACAATATATTTTTCACATAAAATAACCTATAAAACTAAAAAGGATGAATTTGCTACATCTAAATATACTCGTATAAATCTTAGTTTTAAACAAATGAAATGGATAAGTGGTCTGTAATAATTGCTTGCATATACCTGAACATACCCAGAATTAGCTCGACATCAGTACTGGTCCTGAATCTGGTATTGCTAAACAGTGGAAGGAATCTGGGTACAGTGAGAATAGCTACAATTATTCAGCTAACAACAGGTCATTCAAATAGGCATAAGACAGGCCTTTCCATGTTGGCAGAGGCTGAGGGAGTCTTTTTTTTATATTAAGGAGGACTGATCTACAGCACTTCCCAGGGTCATGAAGGAGAGAAATAATTATTATATGAAAATTAAGTCATTAGTGATCATCCATAAAGCCAGGGAAGGAGGTTGAGGTATACCAAACTATCACTATACTGACCATTTTAGGACTTGCTGGTGATTGTACATGGTTAAGAATTTTTTAGACAATAAAAAATAAGATGCTAATCATTCTTCTAGCCTCAAAAGAGCTAGGTGTTGGTGTACAAATCGCAAGATCCATTCAGCTACCCAGGAAGTGACAGTAAGTACATTTTATATGTACTATATATATATGGAGAGAGAGAGAGAGAGAGACTAATTGCTATGTTTGTTTCAAGACAAAAGACAATAGCATATATTCTCTTTGCAGAACTTTTTACTCATACACTTATAATGCACATAAAAAAAATTCCCAGCCTTAGGAGCTGGAATGAACTTAAGCTACAGCCAAATTCCTTCCAAGGATCTGAGCAACAAAAAGGTTATGTGACTTTTTCAAGAATTAGGGAATTTAAAAGGCACAAAGGCTACATGAAATGTATATGGACAGCATCCATGAAAACAAATGCATTTTTAAAACTTTCTTTAGATTCGATTTTTACTCATTCCAACATACACATATAAACCACCAAAAAATATAAGATGATTTTCAGAAGATTGAGTTGAAGGTTTAATTTAGTTCCTTCTCTGTATATTGGGACTGTTCTGCCTTCTGACTATGAAAGCTGATAGTGGAGCTCTGGGTATTCAGCAAGAAAGTGGGGACATTGAACAGCAGAAAACAGATTGAAATTGGGAAAATTCATTACTTTATGTTTGTCTTGTGGTGCTGAGGATTGAATTCAGGGTCTTGTGCATGGTAGACAAGCACTCTACTGCTGAGCTATACCACTAGCACAGATGAGGAAACTTCAGAGCCTGAGAAAAATATTTTTCTTTCTCTCTCCTTTAAAAATAACACCCTAGTACCAAACAAAACAGAAGGCAAAATGGAAACTTTATTTTAATAAGCATATTAAAATGTTGATGATAATTCTAACATAAATATGCACACATATATTAATTTTCAAAAATTTGTTTTTTACTTTGTGTGCTTTGTTTTACTACATTCATAACTTGTGCTTTCTTACGAATCAAAGTAGGACACACATGATCCTTCTAATTTAAAATGCTGGCTCTGATTGTAAAGTGGTGCATTTGATTTCCAGCATTGATAATGCAAAATTTGCAAAGGCACAGTGACCCACAGCTTTATGCAGTAGTATTCCAAGTGAGGCTTTTCTGGTTCTCACAACAAGCAAGGGATTTTTCAAAGCTATGTTTTTGAATAAAGCTCCAAATGTTTTTAAGGCCCTTAGATAAATTACAATGCACTGAAGCTATCACAGAAATTAACATCTCTATGCAAAAACAATCCAACATAATCACACTTACACTTTTCTCTAAGTACTCTTTATTTTCCTTTACTCAGAAAACAAACAAAACTGAAGTATCTTCCTTGTAATAAGTTCCAGTTAGACTTTGGTTGTAATTAGTAAAAGTGTTCACACCCTTAATTATCCACAAAGCAACTATTTTCTAGGTATTTTATTCTTCTTCTATATCATACTAAAGGTCCAAAGACAGTTTTGTTTTAAAACTATACCTTTTAAAACTATATTTGCCAGTAAATTCTGTAAAAAAGTTAATAAAATAATGTGTACTTTTCTTGTTTTATTTTCAAATAATATGTATGCTGCACCTGCACTTATAAAACCTAGCATCAGGAGTAGGGTCTCCACAGCTGACGTTTACTTGGGTGGAGGAAGAGTCACATCTAGTCATTTCCTTTCTAAGTAGTTCTCAAAGACTAAATTCAGAATTCACTAAACACACAGCTTTGTGGAAAGTAATGGAATCGTGAAAGAGGCAGAAAAGGACAGAAAGAGAGACAGAGAGACAGAGCAGGATGTTGAGCAACTAAGGCAAGATTTAAAAGGCTTAAAGAAGATGCAAGCAAGGAGCCAGATTTTGAAAGAATAAAAAAATATAGTTTGGCAAATGAGAACCCGGAGGCAATCTCCGTGTTGCAGAAAAGCATGCCAGCTGTTGTTTTCAGTTGTGGCTGTGACGCCTCCACAGCAGATGCTTTCTCACATCCCTTGTGGTTCCACGAGGCCTCCTGAGGTCCCTGAAGAGCACTGGTGCATCTCCTCCATCGACAGTGAAGAGAAGCATGGAGAGGAGAGTGCCAGGGCTGCAGAGCCCCTCCACAGTCAGCCCTCTCCATGGGGAAGGAGGGAGGGAAGAACATGCCTTGCACTTGTGGTGTTTACCTAGGCAGCTCTAAGGCTTTCTCACTGTGGCCCATCTTTGGATTTCACATCTAAAGGGAACCACTGTACAAAGACATCTACATATGGGCATAGAAATATTCTGTGCCTCACCATGACAGTTGGCACTACGTGATCAGTATCTTTTGTTATTCCTCTTAAAAGTTGTAGTTTGATTTTCTGAAGCACTAAAAGTCATTATCCTTGATGCGCTAGTGTAAAACGGTCCTAAATTCACTGCCCAATACAGCCACATGTGGCTTCTGAGCCCCTGAAAATAGCTCATCCATATTAACACAAGTTGCAAATGGAAAATACACATGAGATTTCTAAGCCTCAGGATGGATGAATGTAAAAATATTGTAAATAATTTTTAAATTCCACCTAAAATTATATTTTACTCTATTGGGTAAACTATAGCATGGAGATTATTATTTTTAATTAATTTTGCCAGTTTCTTCTGTCTTTTGAATTCTGACTACTAGGTCATTTTAATTATTCAAGTAGCTATGATTAGAATTCTATCGAATAAAGCTTCTTTAAACATCCCAAGCCTAGTTTTAAATGGGATTTTCCTGATTAAAATGTACTATACTAAAGAAGAATAAAAACCACAAAGCCTGATCTATAGCTTCTAAGGTCAGCAAAACTGGTAGTTTTCATTTATATTTGACTACTTTCATTTCTCATTCATTTTGTCCATATAGAGTGATTTTGTGCCTACAATGTACTAGGACTTGGGCTACGTGCCACGAGTATGGTAAACCAAAGCAGACAGAGGCCAGATTCTTCAACAGCTTAAGTCAAAGATGGAACATAGACACAAGACATATGATAATTCTAATGAACAATTAATGTCAAACAGCGCTCAAGACTGAAGAAAAGGGATATAACTGACCCAGAAAAGGCAGTAAAATCTGAAGGATGGGAGAGTTAGTTTAGAGGGGAAGAGGAGGGCAAATCCAAAGACCTGGAGTGCTCAAGGAACAAAGAACAACCTCAGGGGACAAAGAAAGGTGAAAATGACATAGGAAACATTCAGCCCTAGGCAACCTGGAGGACTAAATCCTAAGGCCTGTGTCAAAGCCTGTCTG